TTCCCCCCCCCCCGGGGGGGGGGGGGGGTGCCTTGTTGAAGATTTCCTCCACGAAAAAAGAAAGGTTCCGCTGAAACTAGTCCTTAAAAGGTTACATAACTTCTGCTCACCCGTGACCTTGCATTACTTCAAGGTCAGGGTATATAGTGTAAGCCTTTTCAAGTTTGTTTTTTCTTCTCACAAATGCATAAAAGCTTCATTCACAAAATAAACATCCGACCTTGAAATAAATCTCGAAAAGATAAACAATAAATCCCACTATAATTATTATTCTATGCTTATTTTGAGACACCCCTTATATGTACATTCAAATGAATCACAGTTGGAGCCTTTTCACATTGTCCCGTTTTCGCCGTCCGATTGAAAATGAATGTTCACCGATTACCGGCCGGTATAATGCTCATTTTCTACGCTGCTGCGCCGTGCCGATTACGTGTATAATCAAGTGGCAAAAAAAAATGCATAGTAAAACGAGTATTATTCTGGCCGGTAATTGCCCAACGTTCATTTTCAACCAGACGACGAAACTCGGACGGCGAAAACCGGAAATGTGAAAAGGCTTTTACTGTAAAACCAATGTAAAATGTTATATAAAAATATAAAAATTATAATTGACCGATTTCGCCGAATATAGTAATATAATCGTAAATCATGCGAAACGGAGGGTATAATTTCCTATAAATGAACGGACATGTTTTTCATAAATTATTCAACCGTGGCCGCGTGTTAACAATACACCGGTTCCGACAAGGACCAATGAGAGAAAGAGAGAGAGGAACAGGCGCAGAAACGTGTGCAGGCCAATATAATAAAGCAACAGTGAAGCGAAGAATAGAGAAGAATGTATATACAACATGTAAAGGGGAAAAGAAAGAGAACACAACACGCCGGAAGAATAAAAAGATGAAAAGAGAAAGAGAGACAACAGAGCACAGGATAGAAAAGGAAGGAGGAAAGAAAAGGCAGCGTTACCAGTAAGGAAACAGAGAGCGGGGAATGAGAGAGAGAGAGAGAGAGAGGAGATAAAGAGAGATGAAGAGAGTGCAGTCGCGTAGTTCGTCCTTGGACTTATATAACAAGGAAGAGTCGAACAGAGAAAGAGGAGGATCCCAGAAAAAAAAAACGAAATGCAAAGGGTGAAAAAAGAATGGGTTAAAAATAAGGGGAGAAAACAACGACGCACGCCTGCCCTCTAGTAGCGGTCAAAGCATTCTGGAAATTCCATGGAAGTTTAAAAAAAGAAGACTACCGGAAATGATTTATATGAATTATCATATTTCGTAATTCGATTATGCAGATATTATTTTGCAAGGGTAGTCAAAATAGAACAATGAAAAATATATTGAGAATCTGTTAAAAGCTATAAGAGAATGATTAGTTGCATAATTTGATCACTGTTTGTTCTACATACCAGTCAATCATTTAGAAAATGTAACCTGTACTATTCAATACACACAATGCAGTGTTAAATAAATTTTCTAACCTCACTGATCTCATCAATGAATTTCTTATACTGAACAGAAAGCAATTTTCATAATGTGCATATTTTATACGTGATTGCTTTTCACGTTATTACATTAACATGGTGTCAACCAGAAATACAAAAAGAACACAAACTACTCAACAGTTTGTATATTATTATTAAACTACTCGCTTGAACTACTTGAAACTTAACCTCTAATTAAGTTTTTTATTTGAATACAGTAAATTTGTCTATTTACTACAATAACTTTACTAAGCTTATTAATACAACTTTCGTATTTATTAACTGGCAAAATGATTTCTAAGAGATGGTGCCTATATCTGCTTCACAACATCTATGTATGTGTACGGCTGCGCCGTGAAACCAAAGGGTTGAACGGCAACAAACACGGAGAGGGTTAATTCGCACTAGCTTGAGGTAGGACGTGCACAAACGCTCGGCAGGTGTCGCCACATTGCAACACACGCTGGACTCGGTCAAGCGATAATAATTCTCACGTGTCTCTGTCAAGCGGTATCCTAGCTTCAATTCACCGAACATGAGAGATTATCTAGGTTAGAGACACGCCGTTATGCTATTGCGTAATACACAATGTAGTCACCCAGTTGAACAGCTTTCTTCGACTGTCTCATAGAGAAATGTTAAAGGAACATGAAATGCAAGTTACAATTATTTCGAGGAATCGATCATTTATGACACCGACAAATAAAAGAAATATATTTAACTCAAATAAAATGTCTTTTTCTTATACTTTATCTCTGCTTTGGTGTATATACAAGACACATAGGGATTGAGCCAAGAGAGGAGGGTACAGTCAAGATCAAAAACGAGATGCGTGACATAGATTTGGCTGAGAGAGCAATTTTCACAGGGAGGCTATCCCAAAAAGAAATGTCATATTCGTAGAGAGTGCGAGATGAATGGGGGATAGCTTCGAAAAGAAATTCTCTGCTAATATCGCGGTCAAATGCCGTGAATGCGGTCACTGAACTAGTTCCGTTTCGACCCTGACACTGCCATTGCCCCCAGGTCGCGATTTGTGTCAGAGGCTCAATATTGCCATGATTTTATTTGCATGCACATTTACTCACCCCTTTCGCTAGACTCCATCTCGCAAAGGCTCTTGACACCGTGCTGGACGTACGGTACACGACACAAGTATCGGGCAAGTACACGTGGAAAATTACTTGTGGATTTCAGACCGCTAGCTCAAAATTCACCACGATATAAACATGGCCGGTCGCTCTCTTGTCACAATTACCGTGGGGTCGTTGAACCTTTCCGAAATCCTACGACAACCACGCGGAACACTGGAACTGTCTATTCTTTTTTTCGATGCACACGAAAAATGTTAAAGTACTGTAGCTTAGTGCATGCCGCCTAAAAATAGATCGTGAATTCGGCGATTGTTTTGACTAACAATGTGGTTCGCAACCTACTCAGAGGTGGCGCTACGCATTGGAACTTCGATTCCATTGCGACATACGAGGCGAAAGGTGAATTTCATTGTAACCCTGAAGAAAATATCTGTATTATACATGTATTATAAATGATAAATAATTTCAATCAATTTATTTATATAAATTTCAAAGAAGCAAATAACAAATTTACATGAAACGTATGTGAAGTATTTTATAAATGTTTGCCAATAATTGTAAACATAAACTTGATTTCTCTTATTTTACAATTCTCCTATCTCTCTTTTCTATCAAGTGAACGGCGTGAATATTCGTTTTTTAAATACAAATATAATAAGTTTTAATATATAAAACTGCTTGATGTATTGCACTGTTTTAACTAATTCAGTACCCTTTAATTTAAAAAAATTTGGCGCAATATTGTATATTCTACATACATCGATTATATTATTCACAAGCAAATAAAGTTACATTAATTGTATTCAAATATATAAACCATATACAAGGTAAAATTTTCACTCATAACATTTAATTCGTCACAATCGCGTAACGAATATAAGTAATATATGTATATGAAATAAGTTGACGAAATACTCTTCATTTTCGCGCGTTTATAACTAACAATTTCAGCTGCATATTTATTGGATAGTCGGTAATAGAAACTCAAATTTAAATGAATACACCAATCAGTGTGCAGTTTTTATTAGTCTTCAGAAACGTGTCGCGTTCATGAAAATGCGGAATTATAACGTTAAAAAAATGTATTCAATATTTCGTTAAACAGCTTATTAAGTGTCACCGAGATTGAGTGATTTGTTTTAAATGTATTTAGGTGTTATATGCATTAATGGCAGCGAATGATATCAAACAAAATTTACGTAAATTAGATTTTCCATATTGTGCTAGGGAAGCATTATGCAGGATCGGTAAGATATTCGTTAAATAGGTTAACAGTTAACCTTAAAGATTGTTTAACATTTTTAAATCTCATTGTTATTTCCCAAAGAGATACTATGCAGCAGACCCGGAAAACAGATGGATTTGCAACTGGATTTGATATCGGAATTTGTATTTGGAGAAATAGAAAGGCGGAAAAAGCGCAATATGACGATAGCTATACAAGAGTTGCAATTAATAGAAGTTCTAAGCGATTTTTTTCAAAGTCCTGGAGGAAGTCCTGCTGTACGCAACGCGGTATTTTTATCCCTTTTCCCTGCAGATAGTCCAAGATATAAAGTCTTAGGCAATTTAGTATCCTTGGCCATTGCTACCCAAAATAAGGCAGTCTTGAATGCAACTGGCATTTGGATGCAACAATTAGGCTCTACTTCACCACAAAGTGTAGGATTAGCAAGGCATGTACTTAATGACTATTTTGTCCTTACTCCAAAATCTATTGACAAGTTGAAGCAGCTTCCTGTTCTTGCACCACATTTCACTGCCAACTTACTAACGGCAATAGGTGAGGTTTATGAAGACAAAAATCCACCTACGGAACTGCTCAGGTTAGTAGGAGAATGGATAGATGAAAACCCAAGTCTCCTGTTGGCACCTTTGGTGGATAATCCTGCTTTACCAACAGGTGGCATTCCAATGACACCAATAACACCAATAGCAGGTTTATTCAGGTAACTTAGAAAAAGATGGAGTATAAAATTAAGTGTAAAAACTTTATAATTCTGTTTTTTAGGTGGTGTATATTATCTCCTGTACGTGCAAGTGCCTCAGAGAATATGGAATATTCTGAGGAACAAAAGAAACTGTATTCTAAAATTCAACAACTGCTTATGGATTCAGTATTAAGGTTAAAAAGCAGTGGAAATAACAAACATGCTATATCTGCACAACATTTTGCTTCTACCACTCGAACTTTGACTACTAGTTTACAATCTCATACAAACATTAGTTCAACTTCTCGCGACTTGGCCATGGAACGACTTGCACAAGCTGTTAGTGCAGCCATGTCTGCAAATTGCATTTATGGAAACAAACGTGGGTATTGTCATGGCTCTTTAATTTTGTGATTACTGATTTGCATATCAAAACTCAACTTATTATTTTTCTTACAGAAGAATTGCTGGCCTTGTTACAACCATTAGCATATCAGCACTTTTTAATTGAATGGACATTACAAACTTATGCATCCAAAGCAGCTTAATTACATTATACCAAATTTTTATTATAATTACCTTTGTTCTATATAACTGTATATAAACTCAAGTACAATATATACGACTGAATCATAGTTATAAATGTAAACAAAATTTTTATGGTATAATAAATATCTATTTCATGTTGACATTATTAATCTGACCTGTATATTTTTCATTAATTCTGATATTAATCATAAAAATTCAACATTTTATTATAGATACAAAATTAAAATGGTTTAAACGTTCTTTTAGATTTTAAGTCTTGTAATCTCTTTTTATCTAATTCGAACTTCTTTCTTAACTCTGCCAAATCTGAAAACAAAAATGTAACAAGATCCTAAATATCACAACCTTACACATACACTAAAAATACTATAAGGTGAAACTTACTCTTTTTTTTACTCTCACGAATTTGGAAAGTATAAAAGTTAAGCAGTTGCTTTTTCTTATTTTTCTGTTCCTCTTTATGTTGTACTTTATTAATAGTAGATTCTTTCCTAGAAAGAGCAAATTGTCCTCTTTTCTTTCGTCCTGTTACAGTTACCCAACCATCATTTTCTTTTGCTTCTTCTATAGCTTTTTCCTTTGCTTTTTTATCTGCAACTTGTTTTTCATAATTTTCCATATATTCCTCAATATTTTGTTTCAGTTTTTCTTGATCAATTCGTGACTCATTATACTCTATGACCCATTCTATTTAATTTATTAAAATCAATTAAGAATCTTTTTATAAAAATAAATCTTGGTAATTATTAAAGTAACTTACTTTCTAATCCAAAAAAGCATACACTGTTTTGTGAATGTAATGTTACTACATAATTATCAGAAATTTTTAGTGCTTTTTCTACAGACAATTCTTCTTGAAATACTATATATGCAGTTTTGAATCCATTGGTTTTTACAAAATAAAGCAAGTCTACATATCCAAAATGTTCGCCAAATGTATATCTTAATGCTTCTTTTGAAACATAAGGAGGAATGTTTAATACAAATAACGTGCGCCCTTTTGGATATTCAAGTTCTTGATTTCTAATAGAATGTTCTTTAAAAAACAGTTGATGAATATATATGGAATGTTCGTCCAATCGAATCCATAACGCTAGAAATTAAATAATTAAATAAAAATTCACTCAAAAAATGAACAGATCAATTACTAATATTAAAAAACTACATATATTTACATTTAAAGTTCTTTAGATCTTGCTTTTCACTTTTCATAATCGTTTCGTTCTTTATAACCTCTATTCAAATTAATAATATAATTTAATCATAATCGTTATATCAAATTTATGTATACTTTGCGATAAACAATACAAAAATCACAAATAACTTAAAGGACTACTAAATATTTTATTACAATTAGTATATGTTATTATTTTGTATAAAAGCAAAGCACGTTTACTTTCACTTCTCCATGTACGTCAAACTACATTAGCGACATCATATGATTAGCAATGAATAACAAATTTTTAATAAATTATTTTATTTCTATTTTCAAATAATTTAATTAACAATGTATGTTGCTAATGATGCTTGTAAGATGATCTATGTTAAAATAATGTACTAATATTGAATAAATAATGTGCTAGAAATTGATTTGCATGTAATAAAATATTAAGCAACATAATAAAATAAGTAACAAGTTATATTTTATATTTTGGTAAGCTTCAATAAATAAGAATAAATTGAACCTCTAATAAAACTGCTTCTAACAACGTAGTATAAGTATTGTATAAAACTTGCAATATTTAAAGTTTTATTTAATATATTCTTGTATATATATATGTGTAAGCTATTGTTGTGATATCAGTGAAAATAAATGTCAAGGTTATTTTACAAAGTACGCTC